TGAAGGTCTCCTCAACAATAAAAATATAAGTGGAGTAAAGGTCTTTTTATACTTTGCCTTTTATATCTCCTAAAACCCTCCTGAGTAGATCTAAATTAGACTTTCTTTTAAAAGTCCCGAAAGGAGAATTATAAACGATATCGCTCTCCAAAGATTATTTATGGAAGAGATTCCAGACTAAGAAAATACAAGACTTCACTGCAATGTTTGTAAGAAAAGTTATCAATAATATGCAAAATTAGCGCTGATAGCTAGGCTTCTGGGAGTTGTCGAGCCTGACGCTCCAGAGATTCATCCTCGAGGAGGTAGGCAGGCCGATAGGAGGTCGTGCCATCGGAAGTATTGAAGCGGAGGGCAGGATTCGGATGCGACTCTCGAATGTTGCCTATTGAAGTGTAACTGTTAGTTTGAAAAGTCAGCTGGTATTAGTATTTGACAAACACAGACGCTACATTTTAATGGATATTAAATAAAATCATGACAATAAAGTTATAAGCGATGAGTCCTCGTAAAACTCTTTACCTCAAATCTCAACTATTTTAAAACCAATTATCAATGGACATAGGCTTGATTTTTGAGCTTTATATCTATGCTGATAATCCAAGAGCATCCCATACTATATTGAGATCGAGATACCAAAAAGACAATAAGTAACGAAGTTATACATTTAATGTGGGGAAAAAAGCAAAATATAAAACCATAAGGATCGAGTGCTTCCCTATAATAATGGACAAAATAATGTAGATGAAAATATAGTAATTACAAAATGTTTCTTGAAGATTATATACTCACCCTAAATCATAGAGACGACAATAAGGTAATGAGAGAGAGCGCAAGATATGCCAGACGTCAGAATAGGTAAGATGAAGAAGCGGGTTGACGCGCTCAAAGGGAGGCCAGTTTGAATCAGTCATTTGGAAAGGCATCAGTCTGACTGGGATATCAAAATTTAACGGGATGGATTGGTCCCGTTGCGAGATTTTTATCAGAGAAAATGAGAAGTTTTAATAATATGAGTGTAGAATCGTGTAAGAAGCATATGAATATCAGACAGTAAAAAACTAACTTCGGTCGGAAGTACTCGCCACGATG